TATTGAAAACGTGGTTTAAGATTGCGTGCTCCAATACCAAAGCCACTCTGAAAAATATGGTTTAAAATCGGTATTTTTTAAGGCGAAACGGCGAAATTTACCTTCATTTGAAAGTGAGTCAATTTTCCCCTCTTTGGCTTTAGCACTTTTCCATACAAGCCATGGGCTGTTAACTTTATGGTTACTAGTATATGATATGGTATAATCGATCTCGGCGTGTTTTCTATCGATAACCAATACAAAAATGTGTAAGCTCGATGTACTTAGACAATCTTATTGTATTCACCGACCATCCACTAATGGATACTTGCCAATACAATAATAAGCGCCATACCTTTAACTTTGTCTCGCCTTTGTCCGGTCCGCCTTGAAATGGTAACACCCAATTTTAGTCGTAGTAATAACTCAATTCAAGTTCTTTTAATCTTTAGGACAGATGGACTGGATTATATATCGGTGTGTTTGTTACACTTATTCGTAGATACCAAATAGTGTTCACTGGTGTTTGTTTCTAAATAGAAAAATGGCTCACTTATATCTTAAAAGTAAACGTCCTTTCCAATCAACGGTCTTTCTGGTTTGAATCAGCTGTACGCTCTGAGTATTTACCGCTGCACTATCCGTGCCAAGCAGCGCCGGCGTCGCTTCGTTATTGATTACTCTATTAATCTCTTTAATAAGTTAATCAAATTTACCTTCAGTACAGTAAAATAGACCGGGGTAGGAAAGCAAGAGCGGTTCTTTTGTGCTCTCGTCTGCTCTGATAATCCAATTATTTTTGGTAGCACATAGGGCACTTTGCCAAAACAAGGTTCTTCGTAATACGACCACCTGGTCAAGCTAGCCAACCATCGTTGTGATCGATTTACAAAGCGTGTTATGGTGGTTCGTGGGTTCCAGAAATATCTTCAAAATCAATAACAAAATAAATGCCCGATATGTTTTTAGATTCTCAAGAAACTGAATGCCCCACTTGTGCCCACTTGTAGCCAACCAATCGAGATATGATCGTCATATAACTTTCTCTACACTATGTAAAGTCGATTATTATTAAGTGGGTTCACTGTCTAAATATAAACTTTTTCACTAGCAGGGTTTGCGTTCGATTTCCCATTTTTACGGTGGCCTAGAAGGGACATGGGATTGGGTGAAATATTTTTTCATTTGAGTAAAACTAACTCTCAATAATTGAGTAAAACTAACTCTAAATAATTGAGTAAAACTAACCTCAATAATTGAGTGTCACTAACTCTGAATAATTGAGTAAAACTAATTCTCAATAATTGAGTAAAACTAATTCTCAATAATTGAGTAAAACTAACTCTCAATAATTGAGTAAAACTAACTCTCAATAATTGAGTAAAACTAACTCTCAATAATTGAGTAAAACTAACTCTAAATAATTGAGTAAAACTAACCTCAATAATTGAGTGTCACTAACTCTCAATAATTGAGTAAAACTAACTCTCAATAATTGGGTAAAACTAATTCTCAATAATTGAGTGTTACTTATGAACCATTTTCGAACCCAGAGCACTTCGGTCGGGCAGGTCTTCAAGCATGCGCATTGAGATTCAAAATGGCGGACGATAGCATAGACACGGTAAGTTATAGTTTTTGTCATTCAATTTGCTTTTAACAAATTAAGATAATGTTTATATGACGTTATGTAGCTTATAAAATACACGTTTCTAAACTACAGAGGCATGGAGAAATTATATATATAAAAAAAAAAAAATTCAACAGATAGTCTATTTCTCATCATATTATGCTACTCGACGCTATTCTGTAGTTTCAAGTAGTTTCAACGTTTGAAGCATTTGTTTTAACTTTTCACTTACTATACGGTATTCATGATTCATCGTCTGCCATCTTGGGTACAGATCCCATGCTAATGCTCATGCGCCGAGAATAGAGCGCATGCGCAGAGAGATAGTAACACTCAATTATTGAGAGTTAGTTTTACTCAATTATTGAGAGTTAGTTTTACTCAATTATTGAGAGTTAGTTTTACTCAATTATTGAGAATTAGTGACACTCAATTATTTAGAGTTAGTGACACTCAATTGAAAAATATTTCACATTTCAATATTTTACATTTGATTTGTTCCTATGATCTGTACTTTACCAGCAAAAAGTACGTTACACTGAGGCACAGACGGGCCTGTGTCACGCGGGTAATAATTGGATTATCAGAGCAGGCGATAGCACAAAAGAACCGCTCTTACTTTCCTACCCCGGTCTATTTTACTGTACTGAAGGTAAATTTGATTAACTTATTAAAGCGAGTAATCGCTAACGAAGCGACGCCTGCGCTGCTTGGCACGGATAGTTCTGCGGTAAATATTCATATCGTACGGCTGATTCAAACCAGAAAGACCGTGAAAGATAAGTGACCACTATTTGGTATCCATTTAGAAACAAACTTTATATCAATTTAATTAGAAATCTACGAATAACTGAAACATTTATGCACATTTAAAACCCAATCCGTCTGTCCTGGCGCCCTTGGTAAGAGTTTAGTGAAAATTTTGCCCAAAGATTCCGCTTTCTCTCTCGTTAGTACTGAATTCTTAAGTGTATTAAAAATTAGAAATACACGGAGTATAGAAATAACAAGAAAGAGAGCGAGTTCCACTTTTATTGGCCTTATGACAAAATACTATCATGTGTCACTGTTTCGCACTTACAGTGATAACACATATTGATGATACACTTGTCTGTCATCTAAGTTAATAAGGATGGAAGAGAAAACCTTTATAGTGCACCCCCTACTGTTATAACTGTCTCCATTCACCGCATGTTAGTTCATAAGCTTTTCTTACTTTATAGTAAATATTAATAATACTATTTTAAAAAATAGTACTGTTATTAATAATATAAATAGTTATGAGCATCATACATAGTACTACAGTAATACCAAGCAAAAACAACTTCAGTAAAAAGTAAAAATAGTAAATAATATTAGTAAAAATACACAGGTGATTATTGAAAATCTCGCGCGCTGATTGGTCGAGAAACTCACACTATCACACGATAATCACCTCCAGCGATAATCCAAAATGGCGGCCAGCCGCTTTGTTGCTGTTACCGGAAAAAAATGTCTTTTATTTTCTTTTTTCTTCTTCTTTTTTTTTTTTTTTGTTGTTGTTGAAAGAATCACCTGTGTATTTACACTAGAACAATTATTTGCCTCAGTGAATATCGGAGAGTATTTACCTCGCCGCTCGAAGACTCGCGTCTCGGTAAATATTCCCCGATATTCACTTCGCCTTCGGCGAATAATTGTTAAATAATGCAATTAAAAATAAAAATTAAATACTGTTATCAATGATATTAATAGTTATTAGTATCATACATGGTACTGCAATAATACCAAGCAAAAAACACATAAAAATGGTAACAATTGTATTCTTATAATATAATAAATAAAAAGGATAAGCCTTTCAGAATAATATTTTTTTAAAAGTATTTCCACTGTCCACTGGTAAATCACTTATTATTTACACCCGAAGGTCAGGGATTATATTTGTATTCATTTGGAACGGAATCGGAACTTTTTGGAACGAGTAAAGTGCTCAATATACACCTTGTATGTTTTCCTGTATGTTATCTATTCGAATTACCATTTTTTGATTCTCATATGTATCCGGAGATTTTAAAAACCGAATGTTTTTGATTCCCTTCGGCGGAAAAAAATCTCATTCACACGTATTAAGGTTTTCGAAAAGTTGCTTTTTCCTGTGTAATCCGCAAGGAAATAACTCAATGGCTTTCCAAAATATCCGCATGCGTGTGTTGGAGGCTTAAGTCGGTATTCCTGATCCTAATATTCTTGCCGTTAATATTTACAGTATCTTTCGAAATGAAAAAATAAAGTTCTTTACTAAAGTGGTCAAGTAAATCAGATTAACATCCAAAGTACATTATAACACTAGATACCGCTTCAAAAGTAAGCCAATTATACAGCTATAAGCCACGTTTGCGGAGATAATATTCAAATTCTAGCACGATATTGAGGTAGTTTCCCCCACAGCCGCTTACAGTGTCGTCACGCAACGCTTTCTCAGAGGAGAAAGCGTTGCGTGACGACTCTGAAAGCGGCTGTGAGGGAGACTAGATATCGAGGCTGTCGGGAAGAAACGTCAAAATAGCATTAAACCTCGAAGGGATAAGTAGATATAGAGGTATAGATTTGATCATAACATTCTAGTGAATAGTGAACTGATTACCATATCTATCAAATTTATGTCATTTATGGCATACCTTTGTGGAAAACGGAGAGATAACTAGCTAAAAACTAGTGTAATGGTAAAAAGGTAAATCATACACCGTGAAAAGATGAAAAAACTTTCTGACGTTTCGGACGCTAGTCCTTCGTCGGAGTAAAAGAGAAAGAGGTAGTAGAAAGGAGTGTTTTCCTTTCTACCATCTATTCCTCTTTTACTCCGACGAAGGACTAGCGCCCAAATAGCGTTCGAAACGTCAGTAAGTTTTTTCATCTTTTCACGGTGTATAATTTACCTTTTTACCATTACTGCTTTATTGAAAACAATAAGCGTATTTGGTAAACCACGTGTTTGTACCATACATAAAGTACCATACGACTAAAGCCTCACATTCAAGTCTAGAATTTAAGTTATCGAAAAAACTGCCGCCTTAATCCCAATATCAATATATTAGAATATTTATGAGTTTTCTTTAAATCATTTAAAAAAAATTCTCTTCCTTCAAAGATGCTTAATTAACACTGGAAAAAACATCATTGATGGAATATTATTTCATTGGTATTTGTATTAAATACAATAAAATATCACAAAGAAGCTCTCTAAATCTATTTTCAAAGTTTCCCACCTCTACTATTCAGACTTCTGTAAAATTCGTACCACATACTCAAAATATGTGATTTTAGTCTTATAGACGATCGATTGTATTTTTAAGAGATGTAAAAACAATATGAAAACTTGCCTTTTATACCTTTAAATGATACGCAGTCTTACCTTTGATTAATGATCTTTAAACATGATGTTGCTTTCGCTAGTGTTTATCAGTCTGCAAAACAAGAAACAACTGAATTCTTGGGAAATTGAAATTAGAATGTGTTGGCCGGTCTCTGATCGATGGTAAAGACCCTGGTTGATATTGGTTATGTTGTGTACGTGCAGTGTCGATTATAAACTGTAGGTGTTTGCGTCCAGCTCAATATTGGTTTTCAATTCTAAATGGCTGTTTCTAATTGGTTTACGTACGCTTGGCTTTTTAGAGAGCTCGTATTTAAAGGATCATGGCCTAGCTTTTGTACAGATGGTTGTAAAGAGGTAAAACATATCAAGTGAAACCTCCGCTTTATTGGCAACCGCTACTTTACTTTACCCTTTCAAGTATCTTTAGATTGATTTAGATGTAATCCCTATTTTTGATTTCTTTTGTTGTGTTCTAATGTGTGATCATGTAATAATGATTTCAAAGGGGATAAACACAAAGTCCAAGGCGATTCACCACTACTAGACTTTTGGGTAACAAGTATCTTTATATTATCGTATTAAATGTAATGCCTTTCTTGCTTTCAAATGATAAATAATATATGTTGTTGTGATATACTGTGTGATCTTGAACAGATGGTTCAAAGAAAACATAAATCTAATTTCTGCTCAGGGTTATATTCGATTCTCCGTTATGAGCTTTTCCATTTCAAGTACCTTTAGAATCGACCTCTTTACCTTGAGGGTATTACAGACCACGTCGCATTCCCTTAAGATTAAGATTCTTGTTTGAATTGTATCTATATTCATGCTTCTTCTCATGCGCAACCGTTAAACAAGGAAATGATACTCTAGGGAATGGCCCGTGGTCTGGAATGGGAAAACATTATGCCCAAGAAAAGACAGAGGTCTATAAAGCAATCACGATAGCTATTGAGATAATCTCTGTATAAGATGGAAATGGATTCTGTGGATCATTCTGTGATTCATTGCACAGCTTAAATATTTCAAAAACTATGTTTCATTTGTGCGTGATTGGGTGCCGAATTACCTATAGACTTGACGAGGCCTTGACTACAATGATTCCGCAATTTGATAGAATTCGTAATGTATACGAAATAACTACCAACCTGTATGGACATTGACAAAGGCGAGCGGACGTAAAGCTCATGCAAATCAGAAGCGAATATTGTATATTGTTCATCACATTTCTAGTATGAAAGTATTAGTATCAAATTTTAAGAGTTTTGATATTGGAGTGAGTTTGTTGGAGAAAATTCATGTTTATATATATATTTAAGGCAATATTTATACAGCCACATCTAGTCATTAGCAAGGCGAGTTTGAATAAAGTCATGTTAAAGTTGGATGCAAATGATTTTCATTCTGTGATCGGATTTACAGCCGGACTTCTCCTGGGTGTCGGATGTCCATTGTGTTTTTACTCATTTATTAACCTGAATTCGATAACAAAAATATACACTCCGTTATTTAGGAGAAGAGATAACTAGCTAAAAACTAGTGTGAGCTGCGTCGGTGTTTCTAAAGAACATTAAAGAGTTAAAATTAAAAGTTTAAATTTTACACCGTGATAAGATGAAAAAACTTACTGACGTTTCGGACGCTAGTCCTTCGTCGGAGTAAAAGAGAAAGATGTCAAAAGAGAAAGAGGTTATTTAGAAGCGTCAGGAGAAATGGGCCTATCCTAGGATACCTGTGCCGGCATTATAAATGTTTCTAATTTGAAAAAAGACTTAAGGACCGGAAAAAAAATATATATATATTCGTCTTGAATGATAAATATTCTGTTTTAGAACTTTATAATGAGTAAAAACGAACAAAGAAAAAAATGAACTTTACATATACAAAGATTGCTGGTATTAAGCATTTAGAGCGAGGAGGTATCACGCCCTTTTCATGTGTTGTTGAACTTTTTCTCACGTAGCCTGCTTAATGTATTATTGATCTTAAGACATAATGTTCTTTATATATACTTAGTACTTTTCAAATCAGACAACCTTGACAAGGATTATGGGATTAAGACATTTTTTCAGTTTCTTTTTTWTWTTTTTTATTTTGCACTATACGAATTTTTACACGATTTTTCTGCAAATTGCAAAGGATTTGAAATTACAGAAGACAGAGCTGAAGGCAAAGATGAACAAAGGATATTAATGTTTCCTGATATTTTATATGAACGCACCTTTAATCTTCTCGTCCTGCTTCCTGCCTTATATTTGTACATAATTTCATAACTTGTTAGCGTCAAAGGATAAAATTCTTAACTGAATTATGCATTTGAAATACAAAGACCTTAACCTAATCTTTGCCAAAAACAAGGACAAACTGTTCATTGTTTAATATAAGATTTGAAGGTGGAAGAGACATTTAYCAAGGAGATTATTGACAATTATTAATTAACTATTCCTCTTTGTTCTATAATTTTTTTCCTTATATCATTACTACCACCTGACTGCTGGTATTTCCTTTAATTCTCTTATCATAYATAATCCGTAATCGTAATGGGTGGTACAAATAAACAGTTGTCGTTATWGTTATTGTTAAAATAATAAGATAAATCTTTTTTTATTCATACACGGTATGCATTAAAGCTAGAAGCTTGTGGGGCCGTGTATTCTCCATACACACTCCTTACTACATTAGAATATTCTATACACACAACTCTCAACTCACATGTTGATTTTTACGGAGTACGGAGGAAGGATACCGGAGAACCCAGAGAAAACCCTCGTAGCATAGGAGAGAACAACACATCAAACAAACTCAATTCACATGTGGCGACTGCAGGGCACGAACCAGCGACCCGTTGGACTCACAGCGGTGAAAGACGACGCGTTAGCCGCGTTGTTGTATTCTGTTAAAACATAGCTAAAAAGTTATGAATTTTTTTCTTGACTTCGTGTACTGATTATTTTGCACTTTTCATACTGCTAAAAAGATTAGAAGGTTAGACTAAAGTAGATTAAATTGTAGATCCATTGATCATCATCATCATCATTATCATCTTCATTATCATTAAATAGCTGCAGCTTTTGTTCATAAAATAGTTTGGTTTAGTGTGCTACACACGGATATCAAGTCGTATTGGTGGACTTAGAATTGAGGTTATACCAATTGGTATATTCAAATATCGAATAGTTTCGTATAACATGATTTCCAGATATTCACTTGGAACTATCGATGACACGATTTGCACTAGCCACTAACAGTCAGATTGAGCATTGTAAGATAACCGATCTAACGAGGTTCAAGGATGACATATAAGCTCTAAAAGCTTTTCTATTTCACGTATCGAAAGATTTGACAGTCTCACTATCAGTGTGTGTTTTTAGTCCATATTAATGTTATTACGCTTCCGGTGCATAATAAGTTTGCCTATATTTCTGCATTATCGAACCCTAGTTTGAGACTCAGTTTTGAGTTTTACTTTGAAATAAAGGCTTTCTAGAGAGTTTTTTGCTTGGTTTAGAAAAAATAGAATAATCCTCGAGTCATTAGCCAACTAATCTCCTCATTTTATCCTAACTTTCCTTTGAAGGTCTGAAATTGTTAGGAATTTCTGGTTCACTTGTCGGTCAATCTCTTTTGAAGTTTTTATGATATAGAAAAACTCTTTACCTTGGGCATAAAGATTCTTTATTTGAGTTGTATYCATATTCATGTGGTATGAAATGGGGAATTCAAAGTAAAGAGGTCTATTGATCATAAACCTTTACCGATAAATATCAGCCTACATTGGTTCTTCAAGATGCTTAATTCAATTGAGCATAAATAAGAGGTTAGGTTTATTGTTTTGATCACTAAAAATGAAACGAAAAGAGTGAGCGCGCGCGCAAGTTGATGACGCACGGGAGTAGGGTAAGGTGAAATTTAAACTGTATCCGGTTACTAAAAATAGCCCAACCGGGAATTTACACGGCGCGCGCGTTATTAAGAAGTTTCCCTCTCTCTCTCTAATTTTATCTGTTCGTTAGCTAACTAATGCCTATGAATAGCAGCTGTATGACTCTATGCGGTAGTAATGTAGTAATGAACTACCATTAGTCAAGTTTCAATTTTCTTATAATAGGACGTTTGCCTGATGGCGTCATTGACCTCTCCTACTAGACTCCCTACACACTTTCTTTTGTTCAGTTAATTAGCACCAATTGTCTTACTATTCTCATGAGGAAATACAAATTTAAATAAGAAAGAAAATTCGTAAAGCATCTTGGTAGTGGGTGTCAAATCACACCATGCAAACGTCCTAATGGAAAAGACTAAGAAAATTCAATTTTCGAAATACTAGTTTTAGATATAGGTAATCCCATTCATTGACATTGATATGCTTTCCACACGTCTAGGGTGAAAAACCCACAGCGCATGCTCGTACGTTCGGCTGGAAATCCGTAGACGTGACGTGTTTACAAATCAAACCATTGGATATTTACCGCTTATGGTAAAAAAAAAGTTTAAGTCGTTCGTGAAAAGTTAGTGCTTGTTTTTCCCTAACACATCACTTTAGTTGAAGAAATTTGCTGATAAAAGAAACACCGGTAAATCTCCAATGGTTTTATTTGTAAACACGACTCGTCTACAAATTTCCCGCCGAACTTCCGAGTTTTCACCCATGTATTTCCATACTAGTTTATTTTAAGGTGTTTTCCTAAGTCTCTGTACAGTTTTAACCACATGGCAAGTCGTCACGAGTATAGGGTTTTTATGCGAAAGATAAACAAAAACCATTCTGCAATGTGTTCGGCTTACTTGAGATTAAAACCCTTACAAAATTACCCCGAGATTAACACTAAAYAACATTAAAGTGCTACTACGACGAAAATCGCTCAAACTTGGATTCAGCTGAAACTTCCTAARAATACTCTTTAAAGGTCCAATAATCACTRTATGAAGTGTTTTCTCGATATTCAGGACRAAAGTATGATATTTTTACGATTATTTTTTGGAGTCTGTGACGTCATACACTCAACATCGAACACCGCTCCATACATTTCTTTGTATATAAATCCTTAATTTATTTTATTCCTATGAAGTCCAAAGGGTGGCTAATGT